AAAGCGTGTAGGTGCTACGTTACCCAAACACCTCAGATCTGAGGAGGAAATGTTGCCCTCAAAGGTCAGTGGACTGAACTGAGGCCTGTAGCTCCCCACCACGCACACATACTGGTTGGTGTCAGTCAGGAAGGCCAATCTCTGGGGCCGGGCTCCACGGTGGTGGGGTCCTGGCCAGGGGTTCAGAAGGAGGTCATCCCTCCCCTCATGCCATCCCTCCCCAGGCCTCACCTGGAGAAGAGGTAGGCAGCGATGGTGAGGACGCAGGCCAGGGCAGAGATGACACAGCCCACGTAGGAGAGGACACTCAGGTAGTGCTTGTGTACGGCGTCCACCTCCACGGAGGAGACCTGGGCCCAGGAGATAGAGCAGGGCTGGCCTCCATGTCCCCAGCTCAGCCTGAGGGTTTGTCCTACATGAGGGACTAACTGGTGGTCCCCGCTGGGTCCTGGGAAACTATGAACACCCTCTCCCAGCTGAGCAGAATGTGGCCCGATGAATGCATTTTTCTGGAGAGGAGCTTGTCTGTAATTTTTGTCATGTTCTCAAATGGCCCCTTGACCCCCAAAGGCCAAGAACTCTCCACCAGAGAATCTCTTTTCTGTCCTAGCATTAATTATCTGTAGCATTCAATGGGTTTCCTGTGAAGGGGTGAGCTTCCCATACCCAGGGGTGTTCAAGCCACACCTGGACACTCACAAGGAGAACCCTAAGATTCTGGGAGCATGAACCTGGGACACAGGCCTCTGAATTCTAGGAGGCAGTGAAACCCCCCTCAGGGACCTCTGTGCTGGGCCTCAGTGTCCACTCAGGGGCTCATTAAAAATACTCTCCTGGCCCCAGCTTGGGAAATCAGATCCCCAGGTTAGGGCCAGGAATCTGCATTTTTTATCACACACCAAAATCTGGAACAAAGAGCAAGGGCTTTGCAGCCCAGCCTTTTCCCTTATTAGCTATGTGACCTCTCTGAGCTCTGTTTCCTCATTTATAAAATGAGAGACAAAAGAAGCTACTTTGGAGGGTTATTATGAGGAATAAATCACTCAATGTGTAAACAGTGCCTGGCACAGAACTAAACCCAGCTTGTGGTGTGGCTGCAAGGTGGGAGGGAGACCACCCACCATCAGCACTGCAAAGTAGGTCAGGTGGTTGCAGAAGCAGGACGTCTGGGTTTCTCTCCTGACGGTCTCACACCCAGCACTGCTCCAACTCCCCGGGCTGCTCACTGAGGAGGGGACAGCACGGGGCTCTGATCAAGCCCAGACCCCAGGGCCCCATTCTGCCCATCCTCCCCCCCCCAGAACTGTGTACGCTGGTGGATCCCTAGCCTGCCAGCCCTCCCTCTTCAATGCCCACCTTTCTCCAGGAAGCCTTCCCTGATTAGCCTCAGCTCCCCCACCCTTCAGGGCCCCCTTTCTTCTCCTGATACTTGCCCAGCCCAGAGACCCCTCCATACTCACATGTTGGGTCTTCAACCCAGAATACACACTGTAGACTCACATTCTTCTGTAGGGACAAGAAAGGAGCAGAGCGGATCCCATGACCGTCCACCCTTTCATGGACCAGGCAGAGGAAGTTTAGAACCATGTCAAGCCACCACCCATCCCATCTGGACCTGGCTGGCAGGTACCCTCCATCAGACCATCCTTTCATTAAAGGCTAGCAAGTCAGCAGAGGGAGGAATGGAGGACCCTTGTCCCCAGGGTTGGTTGGCTCACACTTACCGGCTGTGGCTGGTGCTGGAAGGTGAGCACCACAGGTTCTGAGAGGTTGGCTACTTTGGTGTTCTGCACGACAATACCCAAGACTTTCTCACCCAAGACTTGGCTAGAATTCTTGTCCTAGATATATGGATTGGGGGAGAAAGTAGGGAAGGGTGTTCAGAGCTGAGAGGAAGGGCCCAGAAGTCTCCTAACCTGTCTAGACTACTGTCTTTCCTAGAACTTGGCTTTGAGATGCTGAGTTTTCCTCTGAACCAATTTTGCACTAGTAGTCATTTACACCATAGTGAGAAAAATATTCCTTAGACCTCTCACACAGAGATCTGCACATTGTAGTTTAATTTCTGAGTCTATAAGGAATAACTTTGACTTTTGGAGGAAGAAGCTCCTCTTCATGCCTTCTTTCCGTCTCTCTGTCAGACAAAAGTTGCTTTCTCCCCAGAGGACATGAAGGTGAGGGATGCCCTCATACCTGGAACAGGGCTTGACTGCTAAAGTCCACCAGGAGGAGTCGTTTCTCGGCCTCTTCCCTGCGGCCTTTTGTCCTCTGGAAGAGTGTTCGGGGGAGCAGCACCGAGTACTCCAGGACCTCACTCTGCGCCTCCTGCAGCCAGAGTCCTTCAGGGCTCAGCCAAATGTAGGCTCCCAGGCCCCACATACACACACTTCCCTCCCTGGATGCTACCACCTCTCAGCCCATCTCCTTTAGGAAGTCATGCCTGACTCAGGACAGCCCTTCTCATCCTCCACTCCTTAGCACCAGCTCTGGCTGGCGATCCTTGTGGTTAGAGCCCCAGGTGCCCAGGGCGAACCAGGAGAACCACATGGTCTTCTGTCTGGGGCTTCGGATGCCAACTCTGCCTATAGCAGCCTGGTGTGGTGGCCACACGTGCAGAGTGGCTGCTCCCAGCTAACCAGCCCCACTCAAGGAGCAGTCTCAAGACAGGGTGCATGGGCAGGCATTTTGGGATTGGTGTTCTGATCACACAGGTGAGCTCAGAGCAGATTCCCCCCATTATGTCCAGCCAAGGGTCCTCCATATCATGGTGTAGCCACTAACTGAGGAGGAGATCCTGGGGCCTGCAACCTTCCCAAGAGGTGAGATACTGCACTGCAGGGAGTGCTCAGGGCTCCCACCAGCCCCCATCCGGTCCACATCTGCTCCCTGCCTAAGCCTGGCCCTGACCTCCTGCCCGGAGTGGATGTGCAGATCCTGAAGGCCAGCTGTGGGCTGGAGCTTCCATACTGTGGCGTTGATCCGGTCCTCCTCAAAGGACACCACATTCCCCGGGAATCTCACAGAGCTCAGCTTTGACTCCAGGCTCTGCAGCTGCCTGGCAGAGAAGAGAGAGTGGTGGGCGACCGCAGGCTGGTGGGGAGACTGAGGCAGAGAGGACAGGAGACGCAGGCAAATACACGGGGATGAGGTAAAAACAAAGAGAGGAGATGGGGTCAAGGAGAGAAGGGAGGACACAAAAGAGAAAGCCAGCCAGCCGGGTGCGAGAGAGGAAGTATGAGACATGGCGTGGGGTGGAGGAAGACAGAGGATGCTGGGCCAGGAGCCCACGGGAAAGGGGGGAGACAGGTGGGTGGGGGCTCTCCTGGGACATAGCACACCAGCCTCCGGCCCAGTTCTGCCTATACTGACCCCACTATGGCCATGGAGCAGCCCTACCCATCTCTGAGCCTCATCTGCTGAGCTCTGAATGGAGCAGTCACTTCTCCTTCATTGGAGTGTGGGGAAGGCAGGGCACAGCTGTGTGGGGAGGGTGATATTTGTTTTTTCTTCAGTCAGGCAGGCATGGGGCTTGGCCTGGGGGCTGTATGTTAACTCCTCTGAGGAAAGGGAAAGACCAGCAGTCCAGGGAACATTCTAGCTATAGGGAAGGCCTCCCGCTGGCCCCTGCTCCAGCCCCTACCCTGCCCAGGTGTGAATCTACTTGATGCCTCCCCTCCCCCTCACAACCCTGGCTGTACTCACTGGCTGGCAGGGGTGACTGAGGGCCTCCTTGAGGTCTTCCTGGGATGCTTCAGGAGCTGGCTGAGCAGCTGGAGGTCCCTTTTCAGGTCACACATGTCGGTGGAGGCATTGTGAGAGGCCTTATGGGGAGGGTCTGGGAGAGGGAAGGACAGACCCACCCGAGGCTGTTTCAAGGTGCCAGTCCACACCTGCCACAGCCCGCTGGACATACTCCTATTTAATTCTCATGTGACTCTGCACGCTTCTATCCCACTTTCCAAAGAGGAAACTGGGGCTCCAGCAAGTGATATGGACTCATCTGAGGGTCACTCAGCAATGAGACCAGGCAGCAGGGGCTGTGTCTTAGAGAACCCCTAGCAACATCAGCCCCAGTCAGGTGGTTGGGCACGTCTGCCTACCACCACCCCAGGGGTCCCTGGCTGCACACATAGAGCAGGGAAGGCCCATTCCACCACTCAGCTAGGCTTGTTTCAGGAATAACTCCACACCCTACCCCACCCTGTCCCGCTGCCCCGACCCCGGTCCTGGGCCTCTCCGCCCAGGGTAGCCTGCACCCGGGCTGTAGATTTGGGTGTCTCCAGGGATCAGATGAGACTCAGATAAGGTGGGAACCCTATGTTCTGTGCTATCAAGGAAGATAAGTCATGGGTAGGTCCTGAATTTATTACCCAGAAAGCCTGGATTTTACGTGATTTGAACATCCTGGCCTTATTAAATAAACAGGCCAAGCAAGACCAGGGTAAATCTGTTCTTCAGGAAGCCAATTTGCAACTAGGCCTGACTTTGTCCCAAATCTTCCCAGGTTAGAGGCAGAATCCCAGGCTTGGGGAGGGGAGCACCGCCCCTGACTGCCCAGCCCTACCTGACTGCCTGAACAACTCCCAGGCCAGGAGCCAGGCCATCCCCACTGCCCCCAGCATTTCCATGGACCTAGATTTACTAACATTGTCAAGGTGCTGTACCTCCACCCCTAGAAACCCTGGCCCAAACTTAAAGTGTCAAAAAAGAATCAAAACCCCCAAGTTAAGCCTCACACTCCTTCTGACCGACCTCCCCTCCCCACCCATTAGCACTTAACAGGAGACCGGGGGGGGGGGGGCTCATTGTACCTATCATACCCCAGATGGAAGACAGTCTCTAGACCTCAGAGTCAGCCTCGCTGCTTCCCTCACCTTTGACCTCTCTTGCTCCCACCCCCATTAGCTGCTGAATTCAAACCCTGGCTCCCCCATTTGCTACCTGTGCAACTATGGGTACTTTCTCTGTGCCTCAGTTTCCTTCTCTGTGAAATGAGGATAAACAAGCTATGTTCAAATGGATGAAGAATTCTTTCTATGTTGCAAGATAACCCAGTCCCATCTGCCCACCCTCCCTACTCCCAACCCTGTCCACACCTTATCCGTCTCCACCTAGACCTCTTCATCCTCATCACGGCCCTCCCACAAAGCTTCCTGAAGCCCACCTTGGGTCACACTCCTCCCCTTCTCAGACGTCTTCCATGGTTCCCCACTGCCTGTGAACAAAGTCTGAGCTTCGCGGCCTGATACTGAGAGCCCTGTCCACTTAGCATCTTGCCTTCCCTGCCCTCCTCTGCCCGAGCTCTTCCTTCTGCCTGGAAGCAACTTACGGTGGAAGGAGAAGGTGAAGCTGGAAGCACTGGGCAGGCTGGTGTTCTGAGGCTTCCACCAGGATCTGACAGAGGTGGCCAGCAGTGGGGGGCCCTGGGCCAGGATCTCCTCATGTCGGAAGCAGAGGAGATCAGAGGCTTGGCCACTCAGCAAGAAATCGTGCTTGCCATAACGAAGATGCAATTTCCCAGCATGTCGGTTCCAGTAGAGGCAGAAGTGGTAGAGGCCCCTGGGTTCAGGGAACAAGTGGGAAGCATTGGGGGATGCAGGGAAGGGGGCCTGGACTGTGAGGGCCCCCTCGGAGTTGTTGATGGAGATGTGCCGCTGTGGCGTCTGTTGATAACGGAGGCTGCTCTTCTGCGTCTGGTTCCGCTGGCCGCAGAAGCGGAAGTCTTCCCGGGGGCCCCCACCATGGGCACCTGCGGAGGCAGAGGCTGCAGATGAGACTCTGTGGCAGGAACCAGGCAGAGCATGGGAGGGAACAGGCTCCAGGCTGAGAAAACATGAGCCCAAGAGCCTGGGTCCCACACACGTTCCAAGGGCCTACACCACCTCAGGGAGTTTACAAAAGTTTGTTCGTCTTTCCTACTCCAAACAACTAGCTTCAAAGTGTGAAAAGAGAAAACTGAAAATAATAATTTCAAAGACAAAAAATACTTTTAACAAGAATTTAGTATTTAATGAGAATACAGCTGCCATAGATGGTTGTGTAGGTTGTACACTGCACAAGGATGCTCTGGCTGCAGAGACGAGAGGGGCTGATACCCAGTCCATGTCCCCCACACCCAGCTGTGTGCAATGGAACTGGATCTGCCAGAAGGAAGGAGTGCTATTTTCTTTGTTCCAGGATACCATCCACTAGCTGAGCTGTGCTTGCAGGCCAATGCCTGCCCCAAAGAAGTCAGCATGTGTGCAGGCATTTTAACATAAGCCAGCAAGTGTGGGCATTTTAACATGAGTCCCAACAGCCCAAGGCACCCCAGGGAAAGCCTACCTTGGACCAGGAAGAACAGAGTCAGCAGGAACAGCACTGTCTGCAGCAGCACTTGGGTAGCCATATTCATCCCACCAAGTCACACTAAGAAATCACCACCTGAAAAAGGTCAGGGGTGTTAGCTGGGAGCCTGGACTGAATGAGGCAGGGAAGCAAATGTGGAAACAGCTGTGGACCTGTCCAGAGCAGTCAGAAGCTATTCATCAAGAGACGGTGGCTTGTCCAGAGCCTGGGAGTTCAAGTCCCAGCTCCACCTTTCACTTGCTGTGGGACCCTGTTCAAATTGCTCAATATGGGGCTAATAATAGCACCTCCCTCCTAGGCCCAGAATTGCCAGGGTAATTTAGTCTAGAATCTAGTGGTGGGGTTGGAACGACCACCATCTTGTTCCTGCCAAACCTGGAGGAGATATAGGAAAAAGGAGGCTTTCAGGATAGCTTTCTCCCCAGCTACCTACCCTCTCTGAGACCCAGCTCAGAGGATACCTCCTCCAGGAAGCTTTCCTGGACTCTGCCCCAGAGTCAGTCCCAGCCTCTGTTGGTTCCCACTACAGGCCAAAGTCCCCTCAGCCTCCCCCTGGGCAGTGCAGGATGGTGCATCTCTGCTCAGCCAGCCAGGGAGTTCCTGTCCATCTCTGTGGACAGGGCTTGCTACACACAGGTTGCTGCGCAAAGACTGTGGGGAGGGAGGTGGAAACGCCAAGGAGCTGAAGGATCTGCAAGTCCATGGTGCCCTCTACAGGGTTCAGAGGGGAAGGACGTCTCCCAGAATTACCACCAGGGGGAGCCAGAGCAACTAATAGATGTCGGTCTCTGCTGCAGACCAAAAAGCCGTATTGTTTAAATGGGGGGAGGCCCTCCACCTGGCACTGAGTGGGCTTCTCTGTCTCCCATCCCCACAGCCTCTGTTAGCTGAGCGTTTTCCATTTGCCAGCCTCTATATTGACCCATCCCACCCTCCTCTCCTGCATTAATTCTCTCTCCAACTCTGTAAAGTGGGCACTACGCTACTGTCAGTCCATTTCACAGATGTGCAAGCTGAGGCCTAAGAGGTTAAATGACTTGCCAAAAAAAATGCTCTGGGATCCAGGGGCTTTCCTTCCCTGTTCAGGACTGTAGTGCCTGGCAGGGAACCTGTAGGCCTGGCCCTCCCTGCTCCCGCTGGCCCTGGTTTGGAGCCAGATATCCACAGACATAAGCAAGCAACTTCATCCTGTGGTGAGCTACATCTGGCCACAGTGACAGATGCATTAATCTGCCACAAGCCAGACAAAGGGAGGCCTGGTAACCCACGGGCACGCAAGAAGTCTGAGTTTGGGAGAAACTAAGGAGGCCCATCAGGAACCAGTGGCTTTTGAATGGAATGTTTGAGGGCAGCATTAAAGGCAGGGGTGCCCCAGGCAGGAGCTCATCACCTCCTGGACCGGTCCTCGCTTGATTGAACCTAGCCCCTTCAACTGACAGTCAGGCCCGTGTCCCACCATGTCTAATCATAAGTCTAATGAGCTAATCATCTTGCCCTGGTGGCATCACAGAATCCCTTGAGAAGAAGGATGTGAAAGTGTTTTAGGGAAGGGACATCATTTCCTAGGTTGTGGTTTATGAGGTTTCTCTCTGTGTCCTCTCTCTGCAGTCTGATTCCGTTTGAAACTGCCTCCTGCCACCTCAGGTCGCAGAAGGAAACCCGACATCCAGGGACATGTTCCTGTTGGATCCCCCCACCCCCCACTTCTCTTCTTTTTGCCAGTCTCTGTTGGTGACCATCTCTAATCTTCAGTCCAAATGTCACTTTTTCCAGGGAGCCACTACTTACTTTTCACTTGTAAACTCAAAGCTGAACAATCATTTTGGGAATTTGATTCAAATGTGATTCAAATTTGATTCTAAGACCCAAGAAGGCCAATGACTTCTTGAGGTCACACGGAAAGCAGGGGAGGAGCTGGCCAGCATCCATGTCTCATTCTGGCCTATGGCCTTCAATGTGAGCCCCCACTGTTAGGAGATAAGGGTGCAGGACAGGGCGGAACCATGGGTCTGCACCAACCTTCCTGGATTTGCCCTTGAACATAAAGAAGAGGGACTAGGACTGAACTCCCCATCACTGGAAGAGTACAAACAAGTTTCCACGGAAGGGATTCAAATACACATATGGAATCTGACACTGACTCATCCCCACTCCACCCCTGCTGTTTGAACAGCCACTTTGAGGTGGACATCTCTGGCCCCATCAACATTCTTGAGGTTTGAGGAGGAGGGGCTGCCTGGCTGCCTTTAATCCACCCTTAGTGGAGTACAGCAAAAGGTGCTTTACCTCAACCTACGGCCTGAGGGCTGCATGTGGATTATGGGAGGATGTTTTTACTTATCTGTGGTGGTGGATATCACAAAAAAATCACAAAAACTATACACAAATTTCTTTTTTTTTGCACATCAGCTATTATTAGCATTTGTATATTTAATGTGTGGCCCAAGATGAGTCGTCTTTGAATGTGGTGCACAGAAGCCAACAGGTCAACAGGTTGAAGAAGCCCTGTGCCCCATGGTGCTTGGGTTTGAATCCTGCCTCCCTCCCTCACTAGTTGTGCACCCTTGGGCTACCTACCCTCCTCTGAGCCTTACTTTCCACCTGTGAAGAGGCATAAAAATCAAACCCACCCCATGAACTGAATGAATTGATACCTGTCAAGGGCTTAGAACATGGCCATGAGCATGGCAGGCACCAAAAGTGTCAGCTAAATATTTCTATACCTTCTGACCAACTCATGCCTGTCCCCAACCACCTGGGCCTGTCACAGGCCCCTCCTCACCCTTCCTCCCCTTTCCATCCTCTGCCCCCCCAGCAGCCAGCTCACCCACCAGAGCACCTTGAGGGGAAATTCTTAGAACAGGAAGCTTTCTTACTGGGAGTGCAATAGGAAGGCTGAAACTCCACCCAGAAAACTTCCCTCTTCACAGCCCCAGCCCTGAGGGTACCCGAAGAGCCTTCTGTGAGGCAGGAGAGCTGGGCTGCTGACAGGAAGATTCCAACCCAGATTGGGCAGAGGCAGGGTGCTGCCCTGCCTGTCCACTTAGCGCCTCCCTCATCCCCTGCCTTGCTATCTGCCCACCTGTACACGCACCTGCCTTCCACCCACCCAAAGGATGCTGGGGATCTCTGGAGTTGTAGAATCTCAGAGCTGGGGCAACTCAACCATCAAGTACTCAGTACCAGCTGCAGGCTGGGCCCTTGTCTCACCTCACACAGCCCTGGGACAGAGCCAGTACCAATGAGAATGGTGGAAAAGGGGGCATTCTAGCAACATCACCACAATTACAGTATCGGGTCTGCGTGATCACAGCAGATCCCCAGAGCCACCCAGTCAGACAGAAAGGAAACCGAGGCTGGGGATGGGCTATCTGTTCCAAGACCACATGAGGTGCCGAGCCCTTCCCTCCTGGCAGAGTCAGCGTTGGTAAAGGTCCTGGGACATGCACCCACCTTGGCTTTGGGATCCCCCATAGAGAAGGAGAGGAAAGTGGGGGGGAGCAGAGTTCCAGCCTGAGCAAGAAGGGGCTGGAGCTGAGCCCCCCAGGAGCCTCCTGCCAGCTCCCCTTCCAGGCATCCGCCCTTGACCTCAGGCCTTCCGTAAACACATAGAACAGAACAGACTGGCCCAGCCTGACACAATGGGGGCCACGTTGTGGGGGCCCCCGAGGGTTCCCGCAGGGTGGAGGAGCACCAGGACTGTCTGAGCAAGACCTCCCTACCCAGGGCTGGCTGCTCCGAGATAAGGGTTCCAGCTTCAACTTGGGCCCGGCCCTGCCCCCTCCATGTGAGCAGGGGACCCTCGGCTCACTTTCTCCCAGTGGGCCTGAGTCACTTCCTCTGCCATTCTGTGTGGAGCCTCGAGTCACCTCTGGCCCAGGCCAAGCTCCTGGAAAACCCATTTCCTCAGAGGATGGAGGTGGAAGTTGAGTGGACAGGACCTGGATGACTCTGGGTTAACCCTTCCTTGGGGAGGTACCTCTCTGCTACCACAAGCCAGGAAGACGGCAGACCTGGGGCCCCTTCCTCTCTCTCCCCCCTTCACATCGGGCGCCCCTAAACCCGGGCCTCCACTTCCAGACTTGCTCATGCTGCCCCCTGCCTGAGATGCCTTCCCCAGCCCTGTGACATTCCAACTCATCTTTGAGCTGGGCTGAGACACGCCCACTGCCCATCCCATGAAGCTGTTTCTAACCCCCCACCCCACCACAATTAACCATATTCTTGCCAGCCCACAGCCCATACTCAACACACTCCCATTGCCACAGGGTGTTTAAATCAGAGCTGCCCACACCTGCCTGTGGGTCAGAGCCCCCCCTACCTCGGAGTGTGCTAAAATGCAGATTCACAGGCCTAGCGAGGGGCTGATATGGCAGGTGGGGTGGAGCTCAGGAGCCTGATTTTAACAAATGCTCCTTTAATGACATCATGGGCTTAGAAACCACAGTTTACCAGCTGGGGTAGACATAAGGAGAGCTGGTCAGAGAGGGGTGGGGACCTGCCCCACATCCCTCAGCTGCCAAATGGCAAGACCTGGACTCAGGGCCAGGGCAGCCTGCTTCCCGGCAGTGCCTCTTTCTTACCCTGTGACAGCCTGTGTCATGTCCCTCCGTGGTTGCCCCAGCATTACAGGGGGCCAGGTACCTGGAAGGAGCCTCCTAATAAACATTGAGAGAAGGGAGGGCAGGGGTGGGAGGAACGGAGCCAAGGAGTGGGGAACAACGAAGCTCTAAAGTTAGTCTCCAGGTTCAAGCCTGGTCTTGCCCGTCTGGGGCCTCCGCATCCTAAGGACCCTCGTTGGGAGAGCCGAAAGGAGAGGACCCAGGTCAACTTTCAGCCACTCTAGCCCCTATCCTCAGTTGTTCTCTGGTGAGCAGGGTGACACAGAGCTACTGGCCACCCGCTGCAAGCCCCAGGCAGAGGGCCTTAGGAAGAAGGATCTGGCCCTGGAGAGGGTGGGTGGGGGTGAGCCCTCGAGAGTTAAGCTTGCATGTGGGTGTTCTTGCACATGCAAGAGTGCGTGTGCCCACACATGTGCAG